ACAAAAAAAAAAATCCACAACAACAAACCAACAAAAAGAACAACAAAAACCAACAAAAAACCCAAAACCTCCTCCTGGACTCACCGGCCCGGTCTGCTGGGCCCTGGAACAGGTCTCTGGACCCTCGGTCCTCTGGACCTGCAGCCAGGCCTCCACGCGCCCCCCATCGAACCCAGACCCGGACCCAGACCTGGACCTGGACCCAGACCTAGACCTGGACCCGGACCTGGATCCAGACCTGGACCGGGGCTGGACGGCCGCGGCCCAGTCCTCTGGACCCTGTAGAGAGAGACCAGGTCTCCATTAAAGTCCATCACAAAGCGCTGAAGACCAGTTAGTCCGAGGACAGGTTCAGAGTCTAGGGACTGGTCTAGGGAAAGGTCCAGATTCTAGTCCAGAGTCCAGGGATAGGTCCAGAGTCTGGGGACAAGTCCAGGATCTAGTCCGGGTTCAAGTCAAGAGTCCAGGGACAAGTCTAGGGAAAAGTCTGGGGACAGGATCAGAGTCTAGTCCAGGTTCAGAGTCTAGGGACAGTTCCAGGTCCAAGTCCAGGGAGAAGTCTAGGGACAGGTTCAGAGTCTAGGGACAAGTCCATAGTCCAGGGACAAGTCTAGGGACAGGTCCAAATTCTAGTCCAGGTTCAAGTCAAGAGTCCAGGGACAAGTCTAGGGACAGGTCCAAATTCTAGTCCAGGTTCAAGTCAAGAGTCCAGGGACAAATCTAGGGACAGGTCCAAATTCTAGTCCAGGTTCAAGTCAAGAGTCCAGGGACAAGTCTAGGGACAGGTCCAAATTCTAGTCCAGGTTCAAGTCAAGAGTCCAGGGACAAGTCTAGGGAAAAGTCCAGGGACAGGTTCAGAGTCTAGGGACACATCCATAATCAAGTCCGGGGACAAGTCTAAGGACAGGTCCAGGTTCTAGTCCAGGTTCAAGTCAAGAGTCCAGGGACAGGTCAAGAGTACAGGTTCTAGTCCAGGTTCAAGTCAAGACTTCAGGGAAAAGTGTAGGGAAAAGTCCAGGGACAGGTTCAGAGTCTAGGGACACATCCATA